ACAAATGGAAGGAAGGGATTAGAAATTAATTAGGAGCAGAGAGAAGGGAGTTGAAGATATTCGTATCCTTCTCGCTTGGGATGTCAACCTGCAGTATGCGTTCATATTCTCTACTCTCTTTATCCTTTCCGTTTAGCTAATTCTTATTAATATTTCTTTCGGTTAATCTGTCGTGGATTAGCTATTGTTTGCAAAACTAGTATTATATATATATATATATATATATATATATATATATATATATATATATATATATATATATATATGCAAATGCCTAAACCCTAGAAGAGTATAAAAGTCGAAAGGGATGTTTTGTTTATTAGCCCTGTTTCTGAAGACTTGTATTATGCAGAAAGCTATATTGTTGTATTAGTACGCTTGGCAAAGTATTTCAACTAGTCCACTTTGGGAAGCTGGTTGTTTTCCAAACGATTCTATACTGAATACATAATTACTTATAATGAGAAAATATATATATAGGTGGTTTTATTTACATGTGTATCAAAGAACATGCATATCTTCCTCACTCAATTTTTACTATCCAATCGGATTGGTTTTGAAGAAAACAAGCTATTTTATTTGCTACAATTAGTCCAGCTAATTATTATCAAACCATAGTTAGATTATTGCTTTTATATGTACTATTGGCCCTATGTTTTGATATAGAATTTGAAAGGGGTATGCATGGTATAGATATCAATAGTTTGACAAATCTGATTCGATGTGATTATTATTGGCCTACTGGGAAGTTCTGCTTGCATGAGTTCCTAGAAACAAAGCTGTGAGGGCGTGGTCAGGGCCCAAAATCGACAATATCGTGCTACGGTGGAGTCAAGCCAGGGATGTGGTGGGCGCTCGGGCCTGGATGTGAAAATTTGGTAGCAGAGCCAGGTCGGGAAGTGACAATTTGGTATCAGAGCCAATCCCTGGCTGGAAATGTGCCGACGAGGATGTTGGGCACCTAAAGGGGGTGGATTGTAACATCCCACATCACCCAGGGGAGTGGATCCTGTAATCCTTATATGTATATTCCCATCTCTACCTAGCACGAGGCCTTTTGGGAGCTCATTGGATTGTGAGATACCGCATCGCCCAGGGGAGCGGATCTTATGATCTTTATATGCATATTCCTATCCCTACCTAGCTTGAGGACTTTTGGGAGCTCACTGTCTTCGGAGTTCATCGGAACTCCGAAGTTAAGCAAGTAGGGCACGAGAGCAATCCCAAGATAGGTGGTCCACTAGGAAGTTCTGCTTGCGTGAGTTCCTAGAAATAAAGCCGTGAGGGTGTGGTCAGGGCCCAAAACGGACAATATTGTGCTACAGTGGAGTTGAGATGGGGATGTGATGGGCACCCGGGTCAGGATGTGAAAATTTGGTATCAGAGCCAATCCCTGGCCGAATGTGTGCCGACGAGGACATCGGGCCCCTAAGGATGGTGGATTGTAACATCCCACATCGCCTAGGGGAGTGAATCCTGTAAGCTTTATATGTATATTCCCATCTCTACCTAGCACGAGGCCTTTTGGGAACTCACTGGCTTCGGGTTCCATCGGAACTCCGAAGTTAAGTGAGTTTGGACGATAGCATTCCTAGGATGGGTGACTCACTGGGAAGTTCTCGTGTGAGTTCCTAAAAACAAAACCATGAGGGCGTGGTCGAGGCCCAAAGCAGACAATATCGTGCTACGGTGGAGTCGAGCTCGGGATGTGGTAGGGGTTCGGCCGGGATATGACAATTTGGTATCAGAGCCAATCCCTGGCCTAGTGTGTCGACGAGGACGTCGAGCCCCTAAGGAGGGTAGATTGTAACATCCCACATCACCCAGGGGAGTGGATCTTATAAGCCTTATATGTATATTCTCATCTCTACCTAGTACGAGGCCTTTTGGGAGCTCACTGGCTTTGGGTTCTATTGGAACTCCGAAGTTAAGCGAGTTTGCGCGAGAGCAATTCTATGATGGGTGACCCACTGGGAAGTTCTCATGTAAGTTCCTAGAAATAAAACCGTGAGGGCATGGTCGGAGCCCAAAGCGGACAATATCGTGTTACGGTGGAGTTAAAAGCTGAATGTGGTGGGGGCCTAGGCCGGGAAGTGACAATTTGGTATCAGAGCCAATTTCTAGCCGAAAGTGTGCCGATGAGGACGTCGGGCCCCTAAGGGGGGTGGATTGTAACATTTCACATCACCCAGGAGAGTGGATCATGTAAGCTTTATATGTATATTCTCATCTTTACCTAGCACGAGGCTTTTTGGGAGCTTACTGGATTGTGAGATACCGCATCGCCCATAGGAGTGGATCATGTGATCCTTATATGTATATTCCCATCTCTACCTAGCTCGAGGACTTTTGAGAGCTCACTGGCTTCGGAGTTCATCAGAACTCCGAAGTTAAGCGATTAGCACGCGAGAGCAATCCTAAGATGGATGACCCATTGGGAAGTTCTGTTCACATAAGTTCCTAGAAACAAAACCGTGAGGGCATGGTCGGGGCCCAAAGTGGACAATATCGTGTTACGGTAGAGTCGAGCCCGAGATGTGGCGGCGGCCTGAGCCGGGATGTGAAAATTTGGTATTAGAGCCAATCCCTGACCGGACGTGTGCCGACGAAAACGTCGGGCCCCTAAGGAGGGTGGATTGTAACATCCCATCGCCTAAGGGAATGAATCATGTAAGCCTTATATGTATATTCTCATCTCTACCTAGCACGAGGCCTTTTGGGAACTCACTGGCTTTAGGTTCCGTCAGAACTCCGAAGTTAAGCAAGTTCAGACGAGAGCATTCCTAGGATGAGTGACCCATTGGGAAGTTCTCGTGTGAGTTCCCAAAAACAAAACCATGAGGGCATCGTTGAGGCCTAAAGCAGACAATATCGTGCTATGGTGGAGTCGAGCCTGGGATGTGGTGAGGGCCCAGGCCGGAATGTGACAATTTGGTATCAAAGCCTAACCCTGGCCGCGTGTGTGCCGACAAGGACGTTGAGCCCCTAAGGGGGGTGGATTATGAGATCCCACATCACCTAGGGGAGTTGATCCTATGATCCCTATATGTATATTCCCATCCCTACCTAGCACGAGGTCTTTTGGGAACTTACTAGCTTCAGAGTTCATCGAAACTCCGAAGTTAAGCGAGTAACGCGCAAGACCAATCCCTAGATGGGTGACCCACTGGGAAGTTCTCGTGTGAGTTCCTAGAAACAAAGCCGTGAGAGTGTGGTAGGGGCCTAAAGCGGACAACATCGTGTTATAGTAGAGTCGAGCCCAGAATATGGTGAGGGCCCGAGCCTGGATGTGACAATTGTAACATCTGACATTGCCCAAGGGTGTGGACCCTGTAAGCTTTATATGTATATTCTCATCTCTACCTAGCACGAGGCATTTTGGGAGCTCACTGTCTTCGGGTTCCATTGAAACTCTGAAGTTAAGCGAGTTCGTGCAAGAGCAATCCCATAATGGGTGACCCACTGGGAAGTTCTCGTGTGAGTTCCTAGAAATAAAACCGTGAGGGCGTGGTCTGGGCCCAAAGCAGACAATATTATGCTACGATGGAGTCGAGTCTGAGATATGGTGGGCGCCCGGGCTGGGATGTGACACGCTCGGTTCCGTTAAGTGATCCGGAACTGGGTTTCTGCTGGGGTTTCGTGGAATAGTCTAGTTCCCTGCTCCATTTGGATTCTGTTGAGTGGTCTGGAATCCCTCATGCTCCGCGATTTCATTAAGTGGTCCGAAATCTTATCCTACCTTGGATTTCATTAAGTGGTCTGATATCCATTGTACTCCGCGATTCCGTTGAGTGGTCCCAAATTGTATTCACTCGGATTTCGTTGAGAGGTCCAGGATCCCTTTTACTCTGTGATTTCGTTGAGTGGTCTGGAATCGCATCTTGGTCTGGATTCCGTTGAGTGGTCCGGAATCCCCTTTGGTGTTTTGATTTCGTTGAGTGGTTCGAAATCCCTTTTGGTGTCTTGGTTCCTTTGAGTGGTCCGGAACCCGATGTTGATGGATTTTGTTGAGTGGTCCGAAATTGCATCATTTGACTTGTTGGTTCCTTGGATTCAATTTCAGCTTCAAAAATGTAGGCTTCGACTGAAATGTGTCGCTCTAGCCTTGCATTTCGGTGTATGTATGCGTTATTGATTGATGTAATTGTCGAATGATATTAGTTGTGATTGTTGTCATTATGATTAGACTCGTTGACCAATATGGCTAGAAATTTATGTTGTGCTTCGTCGAATGTTCCACGTGATGTTGCATGCCTATTGTGTGGTATTATGTTGAGACATAGTGATTTATGTGATGATTGTTTGAGTGTAATGAAAGACGAACTACGAATGGCTTGATCCCTATTTAGGGTACGTAGGTTGTTTAACAACGATGTTAGATGCAGCCATAAAGTATACAAAAAATTACTATGTGATTCGATTCTCGAGTTGTGCTTTGCCCATATCCCGGAGGCGAGGTATATTAGGTATACGGATACTTGGTGACGTCACGTGTCGATCATGGATGTAATTATGAAAACTAAACACGTGACATGTGTGATATTAAAATATTGTATTGTCAAAAACAAAAAAAATCATCCTATTCACAAGTGCACGTGTGAATGCTATGAAAAAACAATTCAAAATTTATGCAATTATGAAATTATGAAAACTAAACACCCAAATCAAATTAGTAGAGAAAATGTACCCGAGTCTTCCAGTTTTCATAAATCGAAGTAACTCAAAATAAAAGTAAAGCAAGATGCCGTCTAGAAACGGCAATACTTGTCAAAACTGGAAAGTAACTCAAAAGTTCCCACAGAATATTTTATCAACCAGATCTTTGGAATCTTTCCAGTGTGCTACTTTGCAAAGCAGCCACACCCACACACACGCACACGTAGCAGTTGACCCACAAACCTCGCAAATTCCCCTTTGCACATTCAGAGCCACGTTAAAATACAAAAAGCTCCGGCAGTTTGATGCAAACATGTATAAATCTATATAAGTATATAATATAACCAAACCAACAAAGCAAGCAAATGGAAACGGAATGAGAGAAAACCAATCGGAGGCGGAGAATTTATTGCCAACTTTTGACTGCTTCTCCTGCGTTCCACCGTTTTCTTTCAATGGAGGAACACCAACAACAACAACGAGGAGGAGATATTATCATTACATGACTAAATAGTAATCAGCCGAGTCAACAGACTGACGCTGACCCTTTTGATACCTCTTTACATAAATCCGAACCACAAAGCTCCAACCCTTTTTATCTTTCACTATATTCCCCTCCAAGACGGCCAAAGAAATCAACGTTTTAACTCATACTTGCTTTGCAAGTGGATTTCAATGGTTAATTTCTTATTATTTTCCTTGAATCTTGATCTTTGTTGCCATTTGGTAAGTATTTTAAGGATCTGAACCATCTGGACGGTACATATCATCCTTATCTCTTTTGGGTTTATCTTTTTTAGTCTGCTCTGCTTCTTTGCAGTGAGGAGAAAGGGAAATTATGGAGGAGGAGAAGAGATGTTTTGCAGAAGTCGTGATGGAGTTAAAAGCTTTGGTGATTGAGGTAAGTTCTTTGGCTCAAAACTCAGAAATTCAAAGAGAAGTAGTGACTGAATTTGTAATCTTGGTTGGGAAATTAGCTCCAATTTTTGATGGATTAATGGATACTGAGTTTCTTAATCACCAACCATTGAGAAAAGCTGTTGAGTCTCTTGGGTTGGAACTTAAGAGAGCCAAGGCTTTGCTGAAAACCCAAGAGACAAATTCATTTGTTGGACAAGTAGAGGATGTGGCTCATGATCTTGGGAGGTCATTAGGGTTAGTGCTCTTGGCAAGTTTAGAAGTGTCCACAGATTTGAAAGACAAGGTTGGGGGCTTACACAAGGATTTGATGAGTACGCGGTTTGATGTGAGTTCGTTTGCAAGTACTAGTTATGGTTCTGGTGTTGTTAGTGAGTTGGAAGTGGAAGGTGTTGTTAGTGAGTTGGAAGTGGAAGTGGAAGAGGAAATACAAGAGGAGAAAACGGTTTGTTTTGGTATTGATGATGTTTCTTTGCAAATTAAGTATGGTGATGATGAACAACTTAAATTTGCTCTTTTGGAATTAAATGAGTTGATTGTAGACAAAAGGGTTGGATATGAATGGATTAATGATGAAGGTGTTATTCCGATTCTGTTTAATCGGTTGAGTTCAAGTAATTCAGAGAATCGGCTTTGTATACTTCGATTGTTGAGAAGCCTTGCTTCAGATAATGCTGATAACAAGGTAATTTTCACTTTATTTTTTGCGTTCGTATCAGCCTTGATTTAATTTTATGATTTCCATGTGAATTTGTTATCTCACATTGTAAAGTAGTGTGCAGGAGAAAATGGCAGATGTTGGTTTTTTGTCTGCAGCCGTGAAATCATTGGTACGGGATGAAGAAGAAAGGAAAGAAGCTGTGGGGTTTTTGCTGTATCTCTCAGATCTTCAGTCAGTAAGGCGCCGGCTTGGGCGCATTCAAGGGTGTATCGTTATGTTGCTTGCCTTGCTAAATGAGGATGACCATGTCGCTTCACATAATGCAGGGAAGTTGTTGAATGCATTATCTAGCAACACGCAGAATGCGCTTCATATGGCAGAGGCTGGTTACTTTAAGCCCCTAGTGCAGTACCTCGAAGAAGGTGATGCAAACTACTTCCTCTCAATTTTGCACTCTTCCATTTGATGATTATGTGTTTTCGTTATCTTCATACTAACTTTATAATTGGAGCATGAGCTTTCTAGAATATAACCACAGTTACTTATCAATGTAAATTGCAAAATTTCCATAAAAATGTCTGGGGGACAGTTGAATCTAAAACGATAACAATTGAAAAACTGATTCTTTTTTGTAATTTGGTTGAACCTGTGGTTTATATCTAAGGGTCTGTATGCATAATTTCAACCAGGTTATTAGCTAAATGATGATCCCAATTCACCTCTAACTTCGATTAGCATCCAAGCTGAACCAACAGATTAGTAGGATAACGTTTCCTTAGATCCTGTAATACATCATATACTTATACGACCGAGCAATTTAGCACATAAGCGTGTGTTTATATGGATCAAATTTGTTTGTCAATGAAATTACTGAATATGAAGATCATGCTTCCTTTCCCTGTTGGTAAGGTTTAACCTTCATCAGTCGTGCAAATTCCGGGGCACTTAACAAACTATCCATACCATGCCTTCGCAGGTTCGGACATGAGTAAAATCCTGATGGCAACAGCACTCTCAAGGATGGAGCTCACTGATCAAAGTCGAGCTTCCCTCGGGGAAAATGGTGCAATTGAACCCCTTGTCAGAATGTTTAGCATAGGGAAGCTAGAAGCCAAGTTATCCGCTTTAAGTGCCTTGCAAAATCTATCAAACCTGACAGAAAATGTCCAACGGTTGATCAGTTCAGGCATCGTAGCATCTCTGCTTCAGCTCCTCTTCTCTGTAACATCAGTACTTATGGCTCTTCGGGAGCCTGTATCAGCGATTCTTGCAAGGATTGCTCAATCAGAATCTATTCTTGTGAATTCAGATGTTGCTCAGCAGATGCTCTCCCTTTTAAATCTCACCAGTCCGGTAATTCAAAATCACCTATTGCAAGCACTTAATAGTATTGCCTCCCATTCCAGAGCAGGCAAAGTTAGAAGAAGGATGAAAGAAAATGGCGCCTTTCAGCTTCTCCTACCCTTCCTCATGGAAACTAACATTCAAATCAGGAGCAGTGCCTTGAATTTGCTTTACACTCTTTCTAAAGATTTATCGGAAGAGTTGACAGACCAACTCGAAGAAACCAATATCAGAAAAATCATCATTATCATCTCAACATCAACATCTAACTGCGAAAAAGCCGCTGGAGTTGGCATACTTAGTCATCTTCCCATTAGTGACAAAAAGGTGACGGATATATTAAAGAGAGCAAATTTGGTACCGATAATGGTATCCATAATGAATGCAAGATCTGAAATTCCAGCGGAGAAGATGTGCTGTTTAGCAGAAAGCATTACAGGTCTATTAATTCGGTTCACAAATCCTGCTGATAAGAAACTACAACTTTATTCAGCAGAACAAGGGGTAATTCCTTTACTTGTCAAGTTACTCTCGAGTGGATCACCTGTTACTAAATGCAGGGCTGCAACGTCACTAGCTCAGTTTTCGCAGAATTCATCATCTCTAAAGAAGTCGATAAAACCAAGGTGGACATGCGTTCCTCCTTCTCAAGATGCTGTTTGTGAAGTTCATGATGGAAAATGCTTTGTGAAAAGCACATTTTGTCTGGTCAAGGCAGGTGCTATCTCTCCTGTAATCCAAATATTGGAAGGTAAGGAGAGGGAAGCTGATGAAGCAGCACTGAGCGTCCTTGCAACCCTCTTGCACGACGACATTTGGGAAAACGGAAGCAAGTACATAGCCAAAAAGTCAGGAATTCCGGCCATCATCAAAGTCCTCGAATCCGGGAGCATCAAGGCTCAAGAGAAAGCACTACGGATATTGGAGAAGGTATTTGGAGTTGAGGAACACCGAGTAACATACGGGGAATCTGCTCAGGCAGTGCTGATTGATCTAGCCCAGCAGGGTGACTCCAGATTGAAATCAACCACTGCAAAATTACTGGCGCAACTAGAGCTATTGCAAGCTCAATCTAGTTACTTTTAAGGCAATAGTGCCATGTTGATGTAGCGAAGTTGTGCTTGTGATTTCACTTACTGTCATCATACACCAATTTTTCTCTAAGTATCTACAGATAATCAGCAGCAACACAAATTTGATTGTTACCGATGGAGTTTGAACCCATGCCGTCATGCAAGGGTTCAACACCTTTTCACCGCTGTGGTATAGAGCCACTTGCAAGTACATACCCATTTGATCCCATCCCTACTTTCTACCATGTAAAATCTTATCTTGCTATCCAAGTAACAAAATGCATTAGCCATGCTAAATCCCTATATGAATGCCTCTAGTTCAATGCCAGATGCATTTTCCCTATCCATATAAACTAGTATGACTGGTTCATAAGCTTAGTTGCTATATACATGGACAATGTATATTAATGTTAATTGATGGCTTAAGATATTGGGGTATGCTAAAATATTATTGTTTTAAGGCTTAGCGAGACACAATAACATGACACTGCTCATCAGATTATTTTCTACCTGCTATACTCTTTCCAAAAAACTAAAAAGCACATTTTCTAGTGGTAGTAACACGGAGTGATATTTGACGAATAAAGCCAGGAAGGAAAAAGATAAGAAACGTTAGGTTTTATCGAATTTGATATGTGGTTGAGCTAGTTTATAGACAGAAGTCAAACACCTCCATTTCGTTCTTCTTGATAAGGTGAACAACTAGTTCCTTTACCTTTTCATGTATAAATTTCAAGGGAAACTGTTTATTTTCAATCGTCGTGAAGAAACAGTCTAAATTTTTGACTTGTCAGTTATCAGATATATTTGACTACCTGTTATTCTCTTTTCAAATTCGCAGAAGACTAGAAACCAAACCATATCCTTAAAAAGCTATTGGTTAAGCTTGTATGGTTCAGAAGGAATGATAAATCCAAACTCAGAAGCGTTGTTTCTTTATCATGAAGCAATGTGACTACAAGTAGCTCAATTTGGTATTTATGAGGCTAATCACCTGATATCTAAATTTGCAATGTGGAATTCTTGTACTCATAGGTGGTCTGATGTCCCCAAGTTGATTATAAGTTGTCTTTTGAAATAAAAATGTGTCGTTCTTGGAATAAAACGTAAATAAATCCCGTCTGCCAGTCATAACAAAGTTTACTAAATTCACGGAGAATATTGTAAATTCGATTTACAGAGAAAAGGCAGTCTTGAGATTGTGGCTAAAAGTCGACCTCACGCTAGTCAGGAGCTGCCATAGCAGCTAGAAGAAAATACTGAAAGCTTTGGCTGTGGGACGAAAGATTGTAGAGAGCGCAAAAACTGGTTGACTAGAAGAGTGGATCAAACCAATAAGGTTTTAAGTGCATGACATTGCAGTCCAGCTATTTCCAGCATTCAAATTTGCTCAAAATTTCTGCCATTCAAAGTGTTAACTGATCGTAATTTGAAAATCATCTACTTCTTTTCTTTCTTTTTCTTCCGTTGTTTTTAAAGCTCTGCGAGACTCAGCTTAACACATTTTTGCATTTTATGAATTCAGATTGGAATTACATTGCTTCATCTAGTTTCTTGTGTACGGTATCTTGGATTCTTGTTGCAATTTTCATTGTGTTTTTGTTACTTACTGTAATTCATATCAATATTCATTTGCTTAACACATTCGTTTTTTGGTAAGGGAGAACGGCAGTGTTGTAAATAGGTAAGAAATTGGATAGTTGTTACTTGTTATGCTGTTTAAACAGCAACTGAGGGGAGAATTAGACTTACATGGAATGAGTTCACCGTCATGTGGCGTTCTTTGTCTCCGCATGGCAATGTATTATTAGATCAGGTCCACATGACAGTAAATTTGTTCCATATAAGTTGCTTTCGACTGAGAGAGACTAGAATGATTATCCCTAAACAAACAAAAAAGAAACTTTCAAAACCCCCACCACCCCCCGTGACACAATAGACAATACTACTCTCTCTCTCTCTCTCTCTCTCTCTCTCCCCCCTCCCTCTTTCCTCCTGATACAACGCATTTGCCCCCGCCCTGTTAGACCAAGTCCGAGATCAGTATGCTAAGTGTCTGCCATCATTACAGCAAGAGGACATGTGATTGCTGACTCATGGACAGCAGGGAGGACATTTTATTATTGATGTGCTATTGCTCCGAGTGCTGTGATGTGCTGTTGCTGTGCTGCTGCATGTGTGGAGTGCAGTCCTTGTAGCAGTCCATGTATTTTAAATTGTAAAGGTTGTATGTTGTAATGTATATAACAAAGCCTTCCCATAAGGCCTATGAGTGAATGATTTATACAGATCAGAAAATCTTACATGGTATACGAGCCCTAGCAGTCTAACGACTTAGATCCTGTTTCCTTTTTTTTTTTTTTCTCTCCATAGCTGATACCACAAACGGCACTGCAACTTCCAACCCTACTATGAATCCTTTCTCCTCTATGACTACGCTTGTCAACATAAAACTAGATCGAACCAACTATCCTTTGTGGTTGGCTCAGATCCTTCCAATCCTCAAGAGTCGTAACCTGATGGGATATGTTGATGGGTCCATCGTCTGTCCACCCAAACACCTTCCTGGTGCTGCTGCTGTCAACCCTGCCTACACAACCTGGGTGCAGCATGATCAACTGATACTAAGCTGGATCAATGGCTCTCTCACACCCTCTGTGTTGTCCGTTGTCGCCAGCAAGAGGTCCTCTCATGATACCTGGGAGGCTCTAGAGCAACGGTATGCTTCTACGTCCCAAAATCGTATTTTGTTTCTTCGCAATGAACTGATGCAAACTAAGAAAGGTGACATGTCTATTGCTGATTATCTTGATCGAATGAACTCGATTGCTGATAACCTTGCCCTAGCTGGCAACCCCGTGACTGATGATGAACTGGTCCAAATTATCTTGAACAATTTGGGTCCTGCCTATGAAATGACAGTGAGTGCTGCTCAAGCACGTGATACTCCAATCGCGTATCCTACACTTGAGGCCCTCCTTCTGACTACCGAGAGACGCATGGCTGCACAGAATGCTCTGTCTGTGGAGGCTGCTCCGGTGAATGCTTTTGTCACTACCAGAGGTCGTGGTGGACGACTTCGTGGAACTGGACGTGGTGCTTTTCAGACCGCACGTGGTGGTGGTGCGATCAATCCACGGGGGTTCTTTCCTCGCACCAATAATCAAAGGGCAAACTCGGCATGCAATGGTGAGAAAATCACTCCCACAGGAGAACGACTCACATGCCAGATATGTGGAAAACAAGGGCATCCTGCCCTAGATTGCTATCAAAGAATGAATGCAGCCTATGAAGGGAGAATTCCAGCAAAACAGCTTACTGCCATGGCAACATCTTCGGTTCCTCTCAATCGGCAGAATAATGGACAGTGGCTTTTGGACACCGGTGCTAATGCTCATGTGACTCCAGACATCCAGAATCTGGTAAACCCACAAGAGTATAATGGTAATCAGAATGTGGGTGGTGTAGGTAATGATACTGGCATTTCTATCTCTCACATGGGTTTGCATCAACTACAAACACAATCTTGCTCATTTAAATTGCAAAATATTTTACGCTGCCCCACTGCCTCAACAAACATTATTTCTGCACACCGTTTTACCCTAGACAATAATTGCTATTTACTCATCTTTCCTCATTTTTTTCTTGTTAAGGACCTCAAGACCCGGAGGACGCTTTTCCGCGGGCGATGTGAGAATGGCTTATACCCATTTTTTGGTGGCAGTGGACAGTTCCATAACCCTATTTCAGTGTGTCTAGGCATTCGAGTCTCGGCCCAAAAATGGCATTCACGTCTTGGTCATCCTGCGTCGTTTGTTATCAAGTTTTTAATTTCCAAAAAACAAGTACCAATTCATGGTACTGCGGATGTAACGTTTTGTCATTCGTGTCCTTTAGGAAAAAGTACTAAGTTACCGTTTAGTACTTCTGAGTCTGTTTCCCAATTTCCCTTACAACTTTTACATTCCGATGTTTGGTGTTCTCCAGTTATTTCAATTGAAGGTTTTCGATATTATGTTTTGTTTGTGGATGATTATTCCAGATACTCTTGGATTTTTCCCATGAAAAATAAGTCTGAAGTGTTTGAAATATTTGTTCAATTTAAAGCTAAGGTCGAAAATTTGTTTAATACTTCAATAAAAACCCTTCAATGTGATGAAGGAGGTGAGTACAAAAGTCGAAGTTTTCAACAGTTCTTGCAACAAATGGCATTTCTCAACGGTTTTCGTGTCCAAAACACCCCGAGCAAAATGGTCTAGCAGAAAGAAAACATCGACATATTGTCGAAACGAGTATTGTCTTGCTTTCTCACTCATCCCTTCCAAACAAATATTGGTTTGATGCATGTTCAACAGCAACTTATTTAATTAATCGATTGCCAACTCGAGTTCTGTCTCATAACTCGCCCTATGAGACATTATTTGAAAAACCTCCAAACTATGAGACCTTAAAGGTGTTTGGTTGTAAGTGTTTTTCGTGGCTTGTACCTTATGCACAAAATAAACTTCAACCCAAGTCCAAACCGTGTGTATTTTTAGGCTACTCACTGAATCATCAAGGGTATAAATGTTTGGACCTGTCCACAAGACGAATTTATTTGTCTCGCCATGATGAGGACTCATTTCCATTTAAGGAACTCACATCATTGCGGGAAAACGTTGATGACACAGGTAGTTTTGCTTCTCCTGATCTTTTGTTCACATTTCCTATACTTTCAACATCTACTTCTCCCTCTTTGCTGAATTCTATCCCTCCTTTAGCGTCCCCATCCCAGCCAAACATCACCACGACCAACCAACAAAATCCTGAACACCCTACCCTTCCTCACCCTCCCATGTTATCCACTCCTTCCAACCCTCAAACCACCTTATCTCCTCCTGACCCTAGTTCCACGAACCAAACTTTAAATGAGCAAGTCCCAGTTGTTGTGTCACTCCCGCCTCATTCTCTGCCACCTTCAGACCATGATCGTGCTTCCATAAGGCCGCGCATGATGACTCGCTCACAGTCTGGAATACAAAAACCTAATCCTAAATATGCTATGCATGTCTCAACTGATCTTTCTTTAGTTGAACCAACCTATTTTAGTCAGGCAGTCAAGCACCACAAATAGAGAGAGGCCATGGTTCACG